CATCTAAGTTCCCCTTCTTCTCATAATATGGACTATATATTGAAATGGCAATTTTTACTGTTAGAAACTGTAATTTTTTAAGATGAAAGAGTCGTTATTTACTATAGTGACAGCTACTCATCACTTATTTTGGATATTAAATTATAAATTGCGGCTTTTATACTTTCTACATTAAGTTCTGTAATATTTATATTTTTGCCACCCCGATGTCCGCTTTACTGTTTGAAACTATAAAAATTAACCGGAATCCGAGTGAATATTACAGTTTACTTTTTTCCGTGTGCTTTTCAAGATTATTATTTCACCAGTTGTCTTAAAAAATGTCTTGCCTTGAATTCTGAGTTTTTAGCTTAAAGATCTGTACCTTCGGTCGGTAACAAAAAATTGACAGCCGATAACGATTTTCTAAAGGTTCAAATAGTTTCGTTTTACTTCAAGAACTTCAGTTTTTTGTTCCAGTAGCTGTTTTTTTTTTTATCAAAAATACGAAAAAAATCTTTCAAAAAATAAAACTTCAATTTCAGCATATTTTGGAAAGTTTAAAGAAAAAAGTAGCAAAGTGTTGAATTTAACAAAAGAAGAAATTCTTAGAAAACTTATATTACCTTTATTTTATTTGAGAATAATAAAGTACTACATCTCAGTAAAATTCTTCTGGAAAATTTTCTATTTCTCCTGAAAATTACTAAATTATCAATCCCCGATTGAACTTTTTGAATTAAAACTGGATTTCTCGAAGCAATTTTAAAAAAGATTTTGTTTTTTGATTCAAATATCTTTTGTTAGTGCATTTAATTCATTACATCAGAATTAATTTTTTGAGTTTTTTAGAATTTCATAACATTTAATGAGAATAATTATTAAGAGTTCTTGAAGGAAAAGTGGTTAATTTTAATGTAAAATAATTTTACTACTAGAAAATAATGTGTCTTAAACTTTTAGTACCTGTGTAACACTCAAGATGTTTAAAAGTGTACTTTATTTTTTATGATCCATTTTTCATTAAAAACAACATACATTACTATAAAAACTTTTTATTGACGGGTTTAATTCTAGAATGAACTTTAGGTACCACTGAAACAATCATAATAAATCTTTAACAATAAACGAAAGCGATTTTTAGAAAATCTTAAATTGCTCTATATTGTTTTATATGCTTTAGCATTAGTAACGGAATATGTATTTTCTGATTTAGCTTAAGCTAACTCGATATGTAGCAAAATTTTCGAAAATTTCTATCATGAGGACAAATGCAATAAGATAAAAGCCCCTATTATTGACAGGGCCCCCACTATTGACACCCTATTTAATTTTATTATTTCATTATTAAAATCTATAACTAGTCAAAATTGTTGATATTTCATGACAATTTTACATATTTTTTAGATTAAAAAATAATAATATTTAATTCCAAGATATAAACTATTTACCGCAAAAAAATTTCATTTCTTCAAGTAGGCCAAAATTGCTTATCCGTTTGTAATTTCTTAACAATATTGTTAAGAAAGACCTTATTTTCAAATCCAGATTTCTCAATGTTTTTTTCATGTAATTGCATTGTTTAAAATTATTTTAGATTATTTATAGTCTAAATAACCATTTAATCATTTATTTATACTTTATCGAGTTAAAATTAATTTTAAAATAGCGAATGTCAATGATGGGGACACAAAAATTAACTTGCGTCAACTAACGACATAGGTCATAATGTAAGGTAACCTAATCCCCTCAACATGCATATCAACGTATTAATGTTTACATACTGTCATGTGATTTTATAAGAATCAAAGTATTTGAGACTAGAAAAAATTGCTAAAAAAAAAACCTGGTAAAAAATATAGAAAAGCTAGGTCTTAAACGAATTTTAAAATAATAAAAATTATTGATAGTTTTGCATTAGTTAGTAAAAATGATTATTGTTAATATAAATTCAACTGTAATAAAAGACCTGTCAATAATAGGGTCAATAGTATGTCAATAATCGGCTCTTTGAATTTTTGCGCTGTCAATAATACATACATTCGACCTGTTGGTTTTAAGTTGATATAATAATTATTAAATTTATTGCTATTAAAGTTAATTAATTAAATTATATAAGTAAAAACAATGATTAAGGTGTCCCAAAAAAAAAAAAGTTGACAATATTAATTTGAAACACGATAAAAAAATTCAATTATTTATGATCACTTTTATAGTGTCAATAATAGGGGCTTTCACCTTAATTAGATTCCTATGAATTTTACTAATAATAATAGCGAAAAAGAAGGAGAATTTTTCGATCGTAAAGTACTCTACCAATCCGCATTTAGAGCCGTGCAAGTGCATTACTTCCTCGTATGAAACAATAGATCCTAAGATCTTTTAAGAAATTTTCTCTCGTACAAAGATTTTATTCGGTGACAAAAAGAAAAAAAATACTACTTTTTTGCTATTACACTCACTAACTGAAAACTTATTTCATTTAAACGCGCAAAAAATGTTTCTCATTGTTCTCGTCTTTCTTCGTTTTGCGACAGTTAGAGTTTATTAAAAGTTTCAAAGTTAGATGTTAACGAAGTTTAAATAAATTTACATACCTAAACTCAACTCGTGTCAATTGTCATACAAATGTACAGGAATATTTGTTCAGTAATCTAAATGAACAAGTGACTGAACTTCAAATAAATTTCTTTTCTTTTTTATATATATATATATAAAAAAACAATTAAGCAAAAATAATGTCAATTTTGCGGTTTGCATTTGAAAATAAATCGAGGATTAATTAATTAAACAAATGGTAGGTGCAGAGAGCATTGAACATTATCGGAGTGTTTGAAATTCTGGAGAATGAGGACACAGCGATTAATCTTGAGCGTGGGGATAGAATAGGATGGAATCGGGTATTCGGGCATTTACATTCCAATCAGAATAATCTATATTGCGTTGCGTTGTATTGATAGCGAGGGAATGATTGAAGGTAATCAGAATTAACGGATCAAAAACAATTAACAGGGTCCCTGCTGTACTACTGGATGCTCGCTACGCAGTGGAACTAAATGTCGAGATGATAATGGCTGCAGAGATGCGAGTTTCTGCGATGGACGAGGCCCACAATGTCCGCCCTCGGTTAACAAACCCAATAAAACTATTTGCAATGATGAGTTTGTCTGCTTTATGGGGGTAAGTGTTTGTTTTATCAATTTAAAACTAAACTGCTGACTTTTTTTGCTTATTCAATGAAATTTTTTAGTTGACTGCTGCACTGAAAAAAAATTAACTTGAATCAAGAGAAAAATTCTTGAATCAAGTAAAATTTTTCGCTCAAATCAATCAGATGAAATTCTTCACAATTATTTACTTGATTCGTTAATTTTTTTTTCTGTGTGGTGATTTTGAGAAAAGTGAAGAGAAAAGATGTAGAAAGTTTCTATTTAAAAAAAAAAATATTTTATATACAAAATTGATCGATTAAGGTAGTTTGGGCTCCAAATGACTTCAACTTGACCCCATATTTTTTTATATTCACTGAGAAAAAAGTATTTTGATAATCATTAATCACAATACTTGGTATTCTGATAATCAAAATACCAAGTATTCTGATTATCAGAATACTAGTCAATTCAAGACCTATACTCTGCGCAGTAAACTATAATATATGCGCTGTCACTGCCATCGACGTTTCAACACTAACAGTCAGTTTATTTGATTTATGCACTGGTAAAAATAGAATTCAACTAATATTTATTATATTAGCTTGAAAAAAATTTATTATTACACTTTTAATTTTAATTTTAATTTGTTTTGTTAGCTTTATAAGTCAATTGATTTGTGCCAGTAAAGTGAGGTTATAAACATCTAATAGTCTGTTATATTGGTATACTGATAATCAGTATACCTAAGTATTGTGATAATCAGTATACTTATTTTGATAATCAAAATACCACGTATTCTTAGTAGCACAATACCAAGTATTCTGATTATAAAAAAAAAAATCCTTAGTAGCAAAATACTTTTTTCTCAGTGTTCATTCGAAAGACTATGATTTAATACATCTATAGAAAAAAAATCAGATTTTTTTACCACACCGTTTAAGGTAGTACTACCGGTTTTAGATTTGACGTTCAGAATTCAATGAAATTTGGCATATTGGTACTTTATAATATCATAATTAAGCAGTAAAATTTTTGAAAGCTGAGCAAGTCCTGAAAAAAAGATATTAATATCTACATATTTTTGCTTTTACCATTGATCCTTATGGAGAATCACAGACTTTATTTTATTTCACAAAACTGGACGTTTAGATTCTTATAAAAATCGACACAACGAGAGGAAATAACATCTAGAACATATTTAGTAACAATCTGTATGGTTTCCAAGAATATGAGAATATTTATTAATAAAAAACATTCAAAATTTATCTCTGTCTCTCTTTCTCCAACGTAATTTAGTATAGGGAAATCTACTACGTTAATCAAATAAGGTTAGGTTTTAGGATTTGACACTTGTGGTAACGGTAGTACTACCTTAAGAGATATAATTAATTAAAGTTTTGCAAAAATACACGGTCTCTTATGAGTGTCCTTGTTCAATAACTCCGGAAATGAAGGATTTATAAAGATCGGCCAAAACTTGACCCAATAAAAAAAACTTTCCAATAGATAGAACAATGTTTCATACATATTCTATCAAAATTTGATAACGATTTACCACATAGTTTTAATTTAATTAATTTTTTAATATCATAAATTGGTTTCTATCTTTGTTATTTGTCAGAGACATTACTCCCCCATCTTTATTAGGGAAAAAATGGCGACTTCTCGGTGCGCGGCAAATTTGAAATTGAAATATAATCATAAAGTTTTTTTGCATTAAAATAAATTGTTATTAAACATACATTAAAAGTTCACGTAAATTATAGCAGATTTAATATATTGAAGTGATCTTTGCAAATTTAAACAATAAATGAACACCGTGAGCAACTGTTTTAAGTACCAACCTTACATAACCTATAACAGTTGTTATTGTTTTGTGACAGCCCAGTACTTGTCAGTTGATATTTTAATAGTTTTATTATTATAATTATTTTACCATAATTATGAATTGAATTTAATCAATTAAATTCTGATTAGAAATAATTTTATATTTTATACTATTTTTCGAGTGATCTCTTGCAAAAAAAGAAAAAAAAATATCTATTAATTTGACTTCGGAATGCGACGATCAAACTACCTTAAACTTAAAATCTACTCGACGGATTTCGATGAAAATTAAGAATTGTTCTATAAGATTCTACAGTTGCTGCGGGTAGTGTTATATTCAAAGTTTATAAATAAATTTTTAGTTAATTGGTAAATTAAATATTTGTTTATTCTCTACTACTTGAATAACCTTAGAGACGGTCCCCCCACCACTTGTTCGTATTCCGATCTCCCTAAGCGGGACTCAAGGTCACTGGTGGAGGGGGTAGCGCACTAAGTGGGAGAAGCGGAGCTGCATTTGCAATACTGTCGGTAAAAACGTAAATGCTCGGTATTGCCCTCGTACGAGTGTCCATTCAGTAAATATACTTGTTCAATAATTAATTACTGATTATTATCTCAATTACTGGAATTTTTTGTACCAGGGTTTAATTAGTACGAAGCCTTTAAAAATTTATCTAATTAATTAACGGTGAGCTCGGATTGAGCTTACTGCCTTACGGGGGGCGTCACTCAGTTTGTTCAAATAATTTTTTTATTTAGTACTATAAATCAGTATTTTAAAATTGTTAATGGTGAATCTGAGATGCTGAAGATTTGAATTAATTCATAAATACTTCCGATGGGCCAACTATTGTTTAGACGTTGTTTTATTTTATTTATCAATCGGTCAAGTAAATGTTGACTAATCAGTTAAGGTTTTTTAGTTCGTCACGCTTAGAAATTATTACGAATTATTTTAATAATAAATTAGATATTATATTATCATTATTATTAAAGAGTTTTTCATTAATATTAAAAAGCACTTAATTTAAATAAACAAACCGCGATATAACCGCAGAGCGTATAAAATTTGATAGTCTAAATTTAAAAGTAAATTATTGTTATTATTTAAAAAATAAATAAAATATATATAAATTTAAATAACATCGAACGATGAATAAAACTAAATTTCTAAAATTTCATCCGTCAGATTACTGAGTTACGTTGGAACGGAAATTTAAATTGCAAATTTAGTGAAATTCATTATTGTATTTCCTGACTACTACTATTTTGTCTCTCTGCATTTCCACTACACACGTTTATTCTCAAGTGTACATTCCAATGGAAGTAACGCTACCTCAATGTAAATACAAGTATACTAAATAAATAATAAAAATTTATGAAAAAAAAGCAAATAGAGTTACTTGTTTATTCGGAATATGAATAATAATTATTACAGTTTTTAACAAATAAAATTGTTGATTTATTTGATTCCGTTCTTTATTTACTGGCTGTCCTCGTGTTTATACATGAATAAGAGAGTAAAATTCGGTATAAATTGGCAAAGAGGGAAAAGAAAGCTTCACCGAGGGGAGTTATAAATTCCAAGGAATTTAATAGAATGTAATAACAAAGAAAGTCACTTTGGGAAATGAAAAATGTCAGAACGGGTGAATGGAAAAATAAATCTCGAGTGATATTAGCGGATGATTTTATTTAGTGATTTCATTTTCAGGAATGCACTGGCAGCATTTGTCTGGCTTACGGGCTCGAGTCCTGCCAGTGCAAGGCCGGAGCTAATGATCCGCTGACTAAAAGTTGCGAACTATGCTGCAAACTCCCTGGAGAAAATCAACCTTGCATGTAAGTCAACCAATCTTTATTAATAATTAAAATTCTATTCGATGTGGGAATTTTCAATCCGAATAGTAAAATGTGCACGTAACACTAAAGAAATCAATTGTAACAAATATAATTATCTAAACGGGAGCTTTAAATAATTAATTTTAAATTTCGTAATTAATTAACCGAAAAATAGATTCTTTTAGCGGAAATTTAATTAATTTATTTTGTTTAAAATAATAGTGTTTTATTATTCACAATATTTTCGAGGAATTTTAAATGAGAGAGTTTGGAATTTACAATTAGGAAGAGTACAATATTTTTTATTGGTTTATAAAATATATTTTTTAATTTTAAAAAGCTTTTATTATAAAATTTGATTGGTTTTATTGTGGATAGAGAAGTTTATTGTCGATAATCTAAATGGAATAAAAAAAAAACATTTATTGACGGGGGATTATAAATTACAATAAAAGTTTATAAAGACGGAATATTTATTAGATTGTTGCAACAATCACGGAGAAAAATTAATTATACTACCTACTATACGAAAATAGTAACTTCTACTATCTAAAATGGTAATAAAATTAATTAGTAACAAAATAATATGTGGTATCATTGACAATTGTAATAGTTACTATTAATAATGGTAACGATTACCATCGAAAATAATAATTGTAATTATTATAAATTATAACTGTTACAATCGAAGATAGTAACTGTAACCATCTCAGATTGTAAAAATTCTGAAAGAAAAATAATATAAGTTTACTTAATCAAGGAAGTCCTTTCGCTCCAGTTGAGTCACAATAACTGTAGTACACTGAAAAAAAAGTTTTTTTCCTCCTAGAAAACTTTTTCCTGTGGTTAAAAAAAAGTATTCCTAAAATAAGAATACCAAAGCTTACTATCCATAGGAATAAGTTTACTGGATATAAAAAAACTTGGTATTCTCATTATTAAAATACTACAATCAATATGGCCGACTTAACCTCGCTTGGTCGACACGAATCTTTAGGATAGATAATTATTATATGAGAAACTATACTTTTTATAATTCTTCATTTATAAACAATCTATCACACTAAAATTAATAAAAATGGAAAATAGTATATTAAGCCTTTCTTTTCTTATTTTTAAATCTTATTGTTGTCAAAAAATTGCAATTTCTTGCTAATAGCATTATTTTACTAATTTACTAATAACATTACTAAAGTAAAAGACCTAGTTATTGACGCTTGCAATTTTATTTTAATTAAAAAAAAAATCAACTCTGATAATTTAATAAACACTATATTTGAATTATAAATTTTAAGATAATTAGTTTTTTGAGAACATTCTATTTTTTTAATTAGAATAAAATTGCAAGTGTCAAACAACTAGACCAGTGAAAATAACTGGGTCTTCTACCTTATTATAAAAATTGATTATATAAGGAAAGAATGTATTGCTAAAATGAGTTATAAATTTGTTGGAGATGATAAATTCCACTCTGACAACTTCTTTTGCATCCAAAAATCCATATAAGTAAGGGAGTAAGGGGAAGTAATATTAATAATTAATACTTTTATTTATAATTTATAAATTATTTAATTTACATAAATAAATATTTAGGTAAGTAGACTCAGGCACGAGGTAAACTAATAACTAAAAAACACGCGTACACTGTAAATTGGAGGGAAATGACAAAATAGTGGCGCCACCGTCACGGTTGCAATGGTAACATAGAATTTAGTTTTAGTCCTGTTAAAAAACTTGGTATTCTCAGATTTAAAATACCAGTTTTCTTAAATCTAAAATATTTAACTTGACTTTTACTAACTACAAGAAAACTCGACTAAAAAATATTCAGTATTCCGGGTATAAAAAAACTTTTTTTTCATTGTAGTCAATATTCAATAAATTAAAATAAAAAAACCCATAAAAATTCCTAAAATTAAAAAATAAATAGTATACGAGGCATTAATCGTTGAAATTTTGAAAATTAAAATAAAAATAGTTAAATACAAAAATTAATTTGACTCTTGTAAATCAGCTATTAGTAACCTGTCCGTGATTTGGCAACGCTGTACTTCGGTTGTTTACATTTTCATTTGCACAATATAACCTTAACCATGTTTAAGTTTTTTCAGTCAGTGTAAATAAATAAATTAATTAAAAATGTTTAGTCATAAAACCATAACATTCTAATGTTTAATGGCAATAATGCTAGTATTTTTTAATTATTGTTTTATTTTTCAATTATGAAATATGAAAATTTGTTAACAATAAATTAATCAATAAGTATGTATGATAAACATGAGTACGTTAAAGTTTAGTTTGAATTTATTGAATGGTCTGAAGCTCGCGCGCTACGCAACGTTGCCAAATGTTCAGACGCCATTTAAATGTAGGTTACTCAAAAATTTTCTGTGATTTTATAATTTTAATTTATCCATAAATTCCACGGCAACCTATATATTTTATTGCAAAAAATCAAACTTCAATATTTCGAAAACTTTATTTTGAGTTTTTTTTTACCCCATCTAATCGGTGGTTAATGCCATAATCCGAGAAAATTGTTAAGGTCTGACTTTCTCGTAAGACTCGGGAAAAATACTAACATTTTTAGAAATTTTTTTTTCAAAAATATCCACGGTGAAGAATAAATTAAACTTCACTAGTAGATAAATAAGGACTTTAACTATTAGATAAAACTTAATTTTATGCATAATCTAATATTTTTTATTTAACATTGATGGCGAAAGGACCTCCTCAATATCTACCCCAGTAATTTACAAACAGATACACGGGACCAAGTACTAAATCTTCAAATAAATTTTCTGTATCACCAAACTTGAAAAAAAATTTTCCAGTCACTGATAAAAACCACTTGCTTAAGTAATTTTCACCCTTTCAGATCATCCTTCGAATGGAATTCTCCACCCTACGAAATTCCTGACATGATGTCCAAGCCCGGTACTCCCTGCAACGACTACAACGGCTACTGTGATATATTCCAACGTTGCCGTGAGGTACTCTATTCTATTGTAGTCAAGTGAATAGTTAAAGCTACTCACCTATTAGGATTAGTGGATTAGACTTTTATTGTTTTCGTTATAAATTAAAGGTAGATCCAACGGGTCCATTAGCGACGTTACGAAGACTGTTACTGTCTGATGCAAGCTTAGAACGCTTCCATAGATGGATGACCGACCGTTGGTACACTGTTGCCTTCAGTGTTATTATTATCATGACCGGATTGGTAAGTTCTCTTCTGCACTCAATTGATTTATTATTTAAATTCACAAATGTACCCTTTTGACACGCTTTATATTTCATTTAAATCCATTACAGGTAATAATGACTCGGTTACTAAGCAAGCAATCCGATACAAACATGAAAATAATTTATCTGAACGAAAGCAACATCAATAACAGTAAAAGTTTAGACGACAGCCGCAGAAATAATAATTATTTTAACGAAGTTAAAATATTCAAATGTTTTACTATTTTCAAGAAGCGGCTGCTAGAAAAAATGAAAACGCTCGTTTCGCCGAGGAAGAAAGACATCAACTCGTTAGAGTCACTGCAGTCTATTTCCTCGGAGTTTGTTACTTATAATAAATTTAAGAACAATTATTGTAGGAGCAATAGTGGTGATGATGATAATAATTTTTATCTAATAAGTTTGATAAGTAAGTTTTATAATAAAAACAAGAAAATTAGGAGGCAGAGAAAATTGATGAACAATTTGGTGGCTGTAGATAATGGTAAGGTAACTAACACCCAATTGTTGAGTGATAATAATTACTATTTGATAAATTATAGAGATAATTTGGATGTGAGAAACGGAACTGATTTAGAAAATTTACTACGACGAAGTTAGTAATTAATTTTTTCAGGACTTATAAATCTTATTAACGTTAAGGACGTTTCCAGATATATGAGTTTTCTTCTATATAATTACCGCCAGTAATTTTATCCTGTTGAGGACACACGGGGTCCAATGGACCCTAGGCGAACTTTGAAGTAATTTTAAATTTAGAAAATTTATAAATGACACTTCGCGTTACTAATGCCAAAAGGGCGCATCTTAACATCTACGCCCTTCTGGGTCTGCGGAGCCAAAAGGGCGCATAAAAAAAATTTTTTTTTACTCCAACTAATCTAAAAATGTTTATAACATTTAGTTCTGTAAGAAAAGTGAATAAAAATTTTTTTTGTACATGCCCTTTGGCTCTAAGACAAAAAAGTTCTAAAGCCAAAAGGGCGTATCATTTTATTTAATCATAATTAAGTATTAGCCTTAAAAAAAAAAAAAGTTATAACACCTATGAAGTGTGAAGAACTCATTATAGTTTTCACAATAATGACTTTTCAATTCATTTTATTTAAAAAGAATATGGATTTAATTTAAAAAAGCAGAATAACAGTAACATTATATTTGAAGAAAAATGTATTTTACTCAATTACAAAATTTTCATTCCTATTGACCCAATAATCATGTCTCCACTGACAAAGTGTAATGAATTATGTTTAATTTTACAAATTACAAAATACCATCGATATTACAAAAATCTGTGCTTTGATGATGGTAACAACGGATAAAATTGTTTAACGATTAAAGTATTTTTTCAAATTTTAGATTTACAAGCAATATATATTTATGATTTTTCACTTTCAGAAGTAAAAAATAATGACAATGGAGACGGCATCGGAGTAGTGCCTAGCTAAATTGATATTTTAGTTTCTTCTATAATCAAATACATATTCTTTTCAAAAGAAATGAGTAGAAGAGTCATTATTTTTACCAGTGTTATAATTTTTTTTTTTACGGCTAATAATTAATAATGATTAAAAAAAATGATACGCCCTTTTGGCTTTAAAGTTTTTTTTTGTCTTAGAGCCAAAAGGGCGTATACAAAAAAAAATTTTTTTATTCACTTTTCATACAGATCTGAATGTTAAAAACATTTTTAGATTGGTTGGAGGAAAAACATTTTTTTTTATACGCCCTTTTGGCTCTGCAGAGCCAGAAGGGCGTAGATGTTGAGATGCGCCCTTTTGGCATTAGTAACGCGAAATACCTAAACTTTAATTTTGAATTTTAAACAAAGTCCGTCCTTTTTATGTCGATAAATTTTTAACAAACCAGCCATTTTATCGCAAATTCATTATTTATCAACTCTTAAAACTTACAATTCAAAAATAACCTCAAAAACTGTTCCAAAACATCAAAACTCGGCATTAACAACTCTTGTCAGTCAGAGTGGGGGTTTGTGACGTCACAAGGTCAGAAAAGCGGCGCAGTAAGATTGTTTTCGTACTTCTGCGCATGTGAAGGGGCAAAAGAGCGCTTTTAAATTAAAATTCTCTTTTGGTGTAGAAAAATATTTCCTAAAATTAAGCACTTATTTTGGGGACGTCCTTGACAGTCTTCTAAAAAATGTAATTTACTGTACATACATGTAATTATCTTCACTTGAATAGAAAACTATGAATAAGAAATTTTTTTAAATAATTATAAATTCACAACCGAAACAATGAAAATTTCATTGGTTAATTTATTTATTTTAACAATTGTAATGTATATATACGCTATATATTATACAGTAAATATATATTTTTATGATTGTTTCTTTTTTTTTTTCAATAACAGCAGCATATAGCTGACAAATATCTAATAATATTGTACAATAAAGTGTATACATATTTATTAATAACAATAATAATTGTGATTAATTTACAAATAGTGTTATTTATAATTAAAGCATATAAATAATTATTAATATATAATTTTAAATATTGGTAAGAATATATGATTGTTTTGGCAATTGATATTAAAAAAAAAATATATATATATATATATTAAATATTATATATATTATTTTGATTGTTACATTTTAAGGACATCACAGTAAAATTTTATTGTAAAATAATTTTTGGCTTATAGAGGTTTTATTTTATTAATTTTGGCACGATTTTAATTGCCGGTTAATCAGTTCATTAAAAAATCAATAAATTCACTTAATATTTCATATTTATAAGCTATCGCTAAGTAAATAACAGCGAATCTTACAAGTATTGACTTGGCATTTTGTCATTTGGAAGAGCTTAAACCATCACTTTTTTTTTTAAGAATATATGTATATATATTTAGATAAATTCGTAATCGCAAATCCTATTTTATTCTTTGTCGTCATCGATTTTGCTAATAATTTATTTTCCTAAAAAATCAAAAATATCTTCTCTAAAAATCAAAGCTGTTCCACTTCCGTCTCCGAAGAAAAATTTGAGAAAAAAAAAAAGCGCGTACGAGCAAAAAAATTACACTTGCTCTACGCGAGATAGCAGGGTCAGCAATAGCAAGTATTACTAGGTGGCGGTTCTGGGTCATGGCAACGCAGCACTTTTTGATGAGGCAACAACGCAGTGTCCATTGTTGCTTCCATCCTGGTCATAACTCTGTCTAATAGTAATTCGATAGCTTGGGAAATGTTGTGACCAGTTGCTGCACTTGTTTCTAAATAAGGCATCCTGGAAAAAATGATTAAACAATTATAAGTAAAAATTTGTAACACGCGCTGAAAAAAAATGCATTTTTTCTCCATGAATGCACAGAAAAAAAATTTACTCGAATCAAGTAAATAATTTTGAAAAATATTAGCTTGGTATAACAAATGTTATTGTTGAAAAAGCTAAAATATTTTGTTCAAATAATTAATTATTTTGTTAGCTAAATTTTCAAAAATTTTTTTTAAATCCCGATCTCAGACCTTAATTTTAGCGGCAATTTTTTGAATATTGGATGTGTGTAAACACAAAAATATTGTCATGTCCTAATTGTTCAATGTGTTGACAATGACATGCAACCTGAATTTTAAATTCAAGGACCAGGATTGCTAATATTTTTAAGGATTAGTTTGTCCTCTCAAACTTTCACGCTCAGCGTATCCTACAAAAATTGGCAATTTTATTGAGTAAGTGACCATTTATTTGAATTCTTGCAATTGGAGGAAAAAAAAGTTTGGAAAATCCAAAAGTACACGCCTCATAATCTCATTTTCCATAATAAAATTGGTTAAAATAAAATACAAATACTTTTAAATATTTCGCGCCATTGTCCACCCAGAAAAGAAAGGTACTGCGCATGTGTTGTAAACAAACCTTTTTTACATAGATATAGATATACAAACGATAAGTGGATTTTAGTTTATTGCTGATTATAATTAAACAACATTGAATTAGACCGTGATTCTTCAAAAGGACTTAGTTTTGGATATTACTAAGCGTATAAAAAAAATGGACGATCAGTTGATTCGCTTCGCTTATGAGGCGTGCAATTTGAATATTTTTTAAATTCTTCAAATCAAATTAAATACTATCTCTAATATAATACAAGTTTTTAATACCCTTATTAAAAAAAGATTTGAAAAGATTCAACACATGCAAAATGTATATCTATATATTCGTCAAGTTAAATCTTTTTTAATCTCTTTGAGCCATTTCCAATCTTTTCAAATCTCTTTTTCTAATCAGAGTATGTAAAATCATTTTTAATCATTTTGGTTGATAAAAAATAGATTTTAATCCAAAAAACATCTACGTGTGTAGTTTTTATACTAATATAAATTTATCACTTACACCGTGAATTTTTTTTTTTCATTAATAATATAAATAAAACCCTTTTCGGCATAAATTTTACTCCTGAAGAAATAAATTAATTGAATAAAAATTCATAATTCTTACAATTATATTACGTTAACGTTCTAGTGACAGAAATGTTCAAATGTGGTATTTCTTACATCCAGTCACTAAACTCAATAATTAATATAATTTTCCAATACCCGGGAAAATTTATTAATAAAAAAAAAAATTAATAAATTACCCATGTTTTTTTGCTAATTCACGAGCTTTTTCTTCACTTATGACCCTCCTGTCTTCAAGATCAACTTTGTTCCCACACAAAATGATATCTGGCTCCTCACAATACGCATGTGTCTAATAAATAAATTAATCGTCAATCATTAATCAACTGGTTAGTTCGTTAATAATTCTTAAACTCACCTTTAATTGTTCCAACCAATTTCTAACTTCCAGAAACGATTGCTCATTTGTCAGGTCAAATAACAACAAAAATCCCATTGAGTCACGGTAAAATGCCGTTGTCAAGCTTCGGAATCTAAAAAACAGAGAAAAATTAAATATTATCGTCATTATTATTAACAAAGAACAGTTTAATTTATTGAATACAAACCTTTCTTGACCTGCAGTGTCCCAAAGTTGTAAATGAACTCTCTGCTGTCTTCCAGTTGCATTTTTATGGATCTTAAACAGCAAAATTAGTTTATTTTTAAACTAGTAATACATACACAGAAAAAAAAGGTTTACTTGAGCCAAGAAAATATTTTTCGTCCTAATTATTTTCTCGAGCGAAAAAAAAAAATTTTTTTCGATACACAAGAAATTTTACTTATTCCAACAAAATTAATTATCTTGCACGGAAATAAGTAAAATTAATTTTTATAGTTTCAAACAGTAAAGCGGACATCGGGGTGGCAAAAATATAAATATTACAGAACTTAATGTAGAAAGTATAAAAGCCGCAATTTATAATTTAATATCCAAAATAAGTGATGAGTAGCTGTCACTATAGTAAATAACGACTCTTTCATCTTAAAAAATTACAGTTTCAAACAGTAAAAATTGCCATTTCAATATATAGACGATATTATGAGGAGAAGGGGAACTCAGATGAAAGAGAAGGGGGTCTCACTCTGGGAGAATTTAACATTTGAAACAGTAAAAATTATACATTTAAAATATACATTTTACCAGTCCAAGCAAGTCAATAATTACAGTTTGATTTTTAGCGTTGCGTTTAAAATTTATCATTTTACTTTGTAAATATTGACGTTGCTTGTATTAGAAATTTACTAACTTTATTTTATACTTTTTACATATCATAAGATCATTTTTTAGGTACAAAATGATAAATATCAAAGTCTGAATTCTTAATTATTATACTTAAACATTTTAGACATTTACATAGCGAATATTACTGTTTGAAATAGTATTTTCTTCCATGTAAAGAGTAAATTGTAACATGTAAATGGTAAATATTATAAAGTGAATAGTATAATCACGATTTTACTGTTTGAAATGGTAATTTTTAGCAGTTGATCATTACTTATTATAAATCGACTGTTATTTATTACAGTTTACTTTTTTCCGTGTGCTTAAAAAAATACGTATCTTGATCCAAGAAAATTTATTTGTCAAAAAAATCTTGTTGTTTTGAGAAAATTCAGCCTCTTGCCCGAAAAAATTTAGTTCTTGATAGAAGTTAATTTTCTTGTCTTCAGAAAATTTCTCTCTTGCTCCAAAAAATTAAATATAAAAATAGAAGTAAATTTTCATTAATATTTTTATTGATTAACATGTCAAATGCAAAGATCAAATAATATTTCATCATTTTCTTTCACTCAATATGTATAATTGCACGCTAAAATAATATAAAATGGGTATCAAATATTCAAGAGAAAAATTTTCTCAAGGTGAAAAAATTTTTTTCTCAGCAGAAGTAGGTACCGCTGCTCCCCTAAAGTATCTAAAAATCTTGATCAAATTCAAAAATTTATTGTATCAAGTATTTATGATAATTTGAATTAAGAAAAAATTATACTTCCACCAAGAATAAAATTTCAAGAAAAATTTTTACTTCGGCCAACACAACTTCGGTCTTTCTTCAGGCACCCGACAAATTTTCTTGAGCTAAGAATTTTATTCTCCAGTCAAGAAATTTTTCTTTATGTGTAGCTTCAAATTGAAATTCCGTGAAAAGTATCAAAGATATGAAAAAAAGACACGTATACAATTTTTTAGGTACTTGAAATTTCTAACAAAAAATTCTAATGACATTTTGTTGCAAGATCAATATCTAGTTATAAAAATCGTTTTTAAAAATAGTTAAAAAAAAAACTTACCACCCGTTTTTCACGGAAATCAATTCCAACAGTTGATACAAAGCGTGACGTAAAAATTCCATCAGTGTACTGATACAAAAAACTAGTTTTACCAACACCCGAGTCACCAAGTGCCAGAAATTTTATCAAATAATCATAATCCATTATCAACAAATAAATCAATCGAGCTCCCCGCTCTTAAATTAAATCGGCAATCGAAATTCGAATGGAAACTAATTTTCGCCACCTGTTGCCTGACACTTGCAAATATTTACAAATATACAAACATACAAAATTTGATAAAAAAAATTTATTAATTCTTTAATAATTAAATAAACAACACTATTAAAACTATTTAAAAAGAATTATTTATATTATTTAATTAAATGTTTTAAAAGTAACTGATTTTATTGAAATGAATAATGAAGGAAAACTGATGTTCTATTAATAATAATATTTTTATATCGATTATTATTACTAATACAAAAAGAAAATAAATGAACTACTAGTTGACTAATGAAAAAAAGCTGGCGATATAATAGACTACACTACAACAATATGGCGATGAAGGATTGCCTCCTGGTTCCCCTACTGACCTACATGCGTGTAATGATACCGCGCATTACGAAATACGTCTGTCGGCTCTGGGCTAAACAAATAAATATACAATCATAACAATGTATAGGTGCAATAGTGATACACGTAATACGTGTGATATGTCTCCGTTTCCAGTCAAAATTGATGTATGCAGCGCAATCTAAAGGGTCGCAGTTGCGTAATACATGGAACTGCTTTACCTTCAAAGCGGTGATAATGAAGAAAGCTGCTGTACTGATGGTAAGTAGGTTCAGCTGCTTTATCAGCTAGAGGTTGAGAGTTGGCAGTGGGTAAACGATGCTGGTATGGTAATGTAGATCTCTGTGGAAGAGGATTGAGCTTAACGCGTTTAAACAGTAGTAGAAGAAAATTTACTGTATAATTTCAAATTGTCGCGACGATGACGTCACTATAATTATTTATAGTATTGATTAATTAAAAACGATTTTACGCTCAAAATTTTATTTATTGAAAAAGCAAAATGTCTTTTAAAAATGTCATGTGTTGAAAGTAGTGTTTTTTCATGACATTTATGTGTAAATACTATTCTACAAGTGCGATAGAAAATATGTAGAGATAATTTTAGTTAAAAAAATCACTTGATTTTTGTAAGGCGAGAGTAGAATACTACCTCATCGTTTTACTTATGAGGCGTGCAATATGTAACTACCAAATAGTACACTTTTTTATAGGATTCATATTCGAGCCAATCGGACATTCAAAATCTGCAGAAAATTCCGGAACGTTAGAGAGCGTTCCAATGACGCGAACATCAGATGGCGCATGTGGGTCGAGGGAATCCCAGCGGCCATGTTTTTGTTTGCTTTTACACCAAGTGTTGGCAAAATATATCCAAAATAATTGATTGGGCGTGTACTGTAATTCAGGAAGAGACATTTCTTCGCCATTCTTGGAGACCCATTTTTGATATGCCAAGTACGCCATTCTTATGCCGATGATGTCGGCGATGTTTTCGTTCAATGTTAGCTTGCCGTCAACCTAAAAAATTTTGTTGTTCAAAAATAATTTTTGAAAAGTAAGTAAATTTTATCGTTAAATTTCAAACCTTGGATTGAGATTGTGAAGTGTAATTATTGTACTGATTAACGAAGCAGGTTGTTTTTTTGTTGTATGTATTATTTGTGTAAGCAGACCACCAGTCAGAAAAGTTTCCGTTTTTGTCAAACTTTCTTCCCCTGTTGTCAAATCCATGCGTTATCTCGTGGCCAATTATTGAACCAATTTTACCGTAATTTATGTAATTGGGGCGAATGTTGTTGTAGAATACGTACTGTAATATTCCAGTTGGTATTGCTTAAATATATTAAACTATTCTTAGTTAAATATGGGCTTGATATTCATCTTGATTAACATTAACTCAGAAAACAGAAAAAATAATTCGGACAGCCTGATCTGGGAATCGAACCCGGATCTTTTAGTTACGCATCAAAGGCTCTTTCAGTTAAGCTATCTGAGACATTAACCTTAACAACCTTTCAGTCACCTAATAATTTTTTTGGTTAACACGATAACAGAAGAGTATTTATTGAAATTCAGTCGATGTAACTGATAATCAATAGTTACTTAAGTTAATGAGTAGTTCAAGTAACTATAAAAAAAGATTTAGAAAACTACATTTTTATACTAGTGATGTTGTAATTCAGCTATCTGTGTACTTTTCTCTCAGTGTAGCTTCCGAGTCAGTCAATGAGTTCTAATAGTAAACTACTGAAAAAATAATGATTGACACCCTAAATTGGGCGCCAATTTTAAAGTTGTCATAATTTAGCGCCTTTTTAGCCAAAAAAATTGGTCATATATAATTTTGTTCAAAAGCTTGAAAACTCTGATACGAGTTGAATCTGAGCCACTAAATCGATAAATTATTCTTAATACTGAACTATTATTGAAAAAATAAAAATTGAAGGCCTCCATTGGGCACCAATTCAAAAATTATCATATATGAGCTCCTTATGGTTCAAAAAATTTATTAAAATTATATTTATAAGCTTGTGACTATAATTCAGCTAACTATGCACTTTTTTCTCTGTGAAAGAGTAAAATTTATAGAGCTATAATAATAAAAAACTGCTCACCAATTAGATTAAAGTCCGGCATGTAATACGCATTAACAAACAACGGAGAGTAAAAATTAGCTAGCTCTTCCAAAAGATCTAACTTATTCATCTTAAGATCAAAATTTTTCCCCTTCTCAAACAACTTCAAACTCAAAACGCTTCCAATAAAGTCATCATCCACATCAACATCAAGATTCTGATAATACTCCTTAAGTTTTTCTCCATTTAATATTTTTTTGGGGTAACCGATTAAAATTTTCATTTCTTTGACCTTTTTAACGGCATGTTCTTTGGTGTCTTCATCGAGCCAATCGACAGCACCCAGTACATTTATCAACATATCCTTGATATTTTTAACCATTTCGACAACATTTTCTTTCACATCATCGCGGAAATACTCTTTAACATACAAATAATTGATACTTAGATTCAAAAACCGATTGGTAGTCTCAATGCAAGCTTCTGATCGAGGTAAAATTTCGAAATGTTCCTTTATTTTAGTCATGTAATCACCGTGTAATTTTTGAATTTCTTCATTAAGATAAGGTGCAGACCACTTTATAACTTTCCACGCCAAATAATTGGCGAGAATTCTTTTTGATGTGTTCGAAAGTACTTTTTCGAGCTTTGAAAAGTAAAGTGGCGTTAGAACTGTGACCAAAACATCGCTGTCAGATTTTCCGTAGAGTTTTAGAGTTTCGTTTATCAATCGGTTCCAATCAATTCCAGGCCAGGTTTTTATGAGATCATCAGTTGTTGTTATTGTTTGATTGAAGTCATCTTCGTCGTCATAAGATAGCATCTACAGAAAAATTGATCAATATTGAGGGACTAAATGGGAGCGATGTAAAATATTTAACTTGAAAAAATAAAATATGATAATATTGTTATTATGTATACAACGACATATATATATTAGCATATATTTATCGCAAAATATATTTTTCCAGCTAGGGATAAGATTTCGTAATCAGGATACGACCGATCAAATTATTAGAATTAGATTGACTTCTAATTATTATATTTACCATTGAAAGTTTTTTTTCAAAATTAAGAACCCTTAAAAGCTCACTTTCGGCTTTAGTTCGACTACTTCCTAGTAGAACTGCAGTATCTACCATGTATTCATAGTAAGCTTTGACATTTTTATCAGCTAGTCCATTCGAAAAAATTTCATTTTCAAATTCTAACCTGGGTTTGGAAAACTGCGAAAGATTATAAAATATTAAAGATTATAATTATGATTAATTGTTTAATTATACTCAAGCAGCACAAAAATTTTTTTGCTAATGTCTTGTTAGTATACTGAAAAAAAAAATAAATAGAACTATTTAAAAAAGAGAAGTCAATTTGCAAAATTTTGTGGGATACGACGTATAAGAATGGCAGTATATCGATATTATCATACAAGAAACCTAACATACGTATAATTCAATTTGCGTTGAATTCCTGACGGGTGAAATTATCCATTCTAACAAATAATCTCCATCAAAGCCCATACTCGTTGATCTTGTTATAAACTCAACCCAATCAAAATTTGATTTGCTCGAATTAGCATCTAGAAAAGGCCAGCTATCGAGGCGCTTTAAGATTTTCCGCAATGGCTCTAGTCCTCGGCTTTCAATTTTACCTTCAAATAGTTCAATTAATGCATAAATTTATTCAACTAATTATGAATTAAATTTTAATAAAATACTTACTCTGATCCATGCAAATTTTGTATAAAGTCCCGACAAGTTCCGCAGGCCTTGATTTGCTGTTCGTAAAATTTGTAAACTTTATCAAATGATTGATCTGGTAGTTTATGAACGAGGATATTCCGGAGAAGATACTTTTAGGTTGTTGCTTCACTTTGTCCCAGTCGTCGTAATTGCCACATACGAATTCGTAAAAATCATCGCAGGGATTCACATCCGAATTTAGATATCGAAGAATATTTACAGCTTGAATTCAAAATTTGTTTAGCTTTTTTTATATTAAATTTTGTAGAGCATTTAATTTCCTACAAGATTATTACCAATTTTCATATACGACTATATCAGGAAATTTTTTTCTTCATAAATCAATTAAGTCATAATCCAGAAGTATAAAACTTATAAAAAAAATTTTTTTAGGAGGTTGAATTTTTTTGAAAAAAATTCTAAATGGAGTTTAAAATTATTTTCGACCTTGTAAGAAATATTGTAGAAAAAAAAATTTTTTTTTTTTGCAAGTATAAAATGAAAATTTTTTTTTTCTTTTCCCAAAAAGTACAAAAATATGTTTAGGAATATTTTTGAAACTTTTAAAAGAGATAACTATTTTTTTACAAAATTTTTACAGTAATCCATTTTGTCACTCCTTACTCTACACTTACTCTACACTTACCAGATCGCATACGTTCTGCTTCTAATTCAAGCGAAGAGACAACAGATTTAGCAGATTCTGAAAGAAGAATAATTGTTTATCCTTGAAAAATTTTCAAACAAAAATTATAGTCTAATTAAAAATTAATTGAGCTTTCATAACAAAAAATCCAAATTTTACTTACCTAGACGGTGTTCCGCATTTTTTAATCGATCCAAATTATTCGCAGAGCTTACGACCACAAAATTCATGAAACTAAAAAAAATCCAACTAGTCTTGCATTTTTTAAAGTAATTTTTGTAGAATTGCCTGTTGTTAAAATCGAGAAAATATTTTGTAAATAAAAAAAAAATTTGCTATCAAATTTTTATAAAATCACAGTAATTTTAACTGCAATAGGTACTTACATTTTTAATTTGAATTTTGATTTATCCAAAATGTTTAATTTTGATACACTGTTAAGTTATGACGGAAAAAACAACAAGCGTTGCCGAGAGAAATAATAATGATTTTTTTGGAAATACGAGTGTATTTATAGTGCGCGATAATCAATTAGATGACATGTGAAATAATTATAATTATTTAATGAAATTAATCATTGTTATTATTATTATTAATTATGTTTGAGGTCAGTAAAAATCTGTTTATTTTGGAAATTCCAGTACAGTGAATGATTTGAGTAAAAGCCGGTGGAAAATAATAGAATAGCCATGACAAAATTCAATTGAGCGTTCGACACATCAAGGCTGTTGTCTTCTCATGGCGGAAAATAAACAAATTCAAAAGCGCTGTTGAACCAAATGTACTTTTTACACGCTTTTTATTAGCTTCACTTGTATGTCAGTATGTCAGTATGTAACTCTCCGTGGGTAATTTGCGCGCCTGCGGCCTTCCTTGGTTCTGGTAGCCGTTTCTCAGGCTCCCTCTCCGAAATCGAACTCTGATTCCCCGTATTTATAATATTTATAAATAATTATTTTATTCTCACTAATCAATAAATTCCTTACTGAAAATTTAATTTAATACAAATAATAATTTAATAATTTAATTAATTAATCATTTAATAATTCAATAAAAATAATAATTATAATAGTTTAAAAAAACTAAAAACACGCTTTTTATAGAAAACCAAACTAAAAAATAGAAAATAAATTTTAATAAATTTAAATTAAGAATAGTGTTAAAAATTTCAATAAATATGAATTAATAATAGTGTAAAAGCGTGGGGTGCATGGTGTCAATAGTTATAAATATTTTATTGACAGATATGAGTAGAGTGATTAAATATCTTAAAAAGCACCCCACGCTCTTTTTAAAATAAAATACATTTTTTTTTATTCACACTATTATTAATTAATATTTATTGAAATTTTTAACACTATTATAATTATTATTTTTATTGAATTATTAAATAATTAATTAATTAAATTATTAAATTATTATTTGTATTAAATTAAATTTTCAGAAATACATTTTTAGATTGGTTGTAGGAAAATGTATATTTTTTGGCTTATATAAATATTATTTTTGTTGTCATTTAAAATAAATAAATGGCAATTTTATAGAATGTAGGGTAAATGCACCAATTATTGACCGATTAAGGTTTTCTTTTTCTGTACTAAGCTATAAAAAATCTATTAACCTATTAAAAACAATTTGTAATGGATTTTATTAAAGTTAAATACTTAATTAATAATAATTAATAACTATTTATAATCAAAATTAACAAAATTATATTAATTTTGTTATTTGAATGTTGAAATACTAAAATCACCAATTATTGACCGAAGAAACCCAATAAATGACCGACCGTTCTCCAATTAATTCACCGCTCAAATAATTGTAAGTAATTTTGTAAACTACATGTATGTAATTAAAGTTATGCAGTACTTTTGAAGCATTAACGACATCTTTAACAAAACTAAACATACAATATAATTTTAAATCGTACTTTTTTATAAAATAATATAAAGTCACATTTATTTAGGTCACAAATAATCACAAATTCATTTTGATGACGATAATTCTTCTGATTCACTTGAAATTTTTTTATTCTTCTCCTTCTTTTTTTCAATTAAAGCTTTTTTACTAGCTTGTAACTCTTTTTTATTTTTTTAATTGCTTAGCAATTTTTTCTTCTAATAATTCGTTCTTTGATATAACCGTTCACTAAAAAAATTACAACAAAATAAAATTTAATAATCAAAAAAGATTTTAAGTATTATTTTAATTATAAATATACATTTTATAATGATTATTTTTATATATACAAAATATTGAATGACTAAAGTACTTTAAACACTTGACAGATTTAATTTTAAGGTTGAGAAGTTAGTATAAATATACGGTGATTAATTGGATTGTGATAAAATCAGAGGGTCTAATAAATGACCGAATGAATTTTTTACTGGGTAAAGGGCTTCTGACGGATCCAATAGTTGACCGGTCTTAAAATAATATCAAAACTTATAATTTAACTTTATTTTTTCAAAAAAGTTGGAATCTGATCTTTAACTAACATAATAAAACTAAAATATTTTATATTATGCCGATAAATATCACTAAATTAATGATGAAATGCACTCACTCTCCAATTGTACGCTAGTTATTTTTGACCGCTTTATGGCTGGTTGCGTTGTAAACAAACTCAGAATATTTTTTTAAAGCTATAATCATTGCGCAATTAATTGCGTAATTTTTTATTATGATGATAAAATGCCATATTTTTTTATTTTAATACTTTAAGAAAAAAAAACCCTTGTAAAATATTAATTAATTAACTTTTTTATACATCGGTCAACTAATTGGTGACCGGTCAACAACTGGTGCATTTATCCTATGGTATATATTTTGAATAAAATAATTTAATAACTGTAAAAATAAATTTTCAGAATAAAAATTATTTGTCAATTATATTAATAATTAAAAATCGCAGATTTATTAACATTTAAAATTTATTCGAGATTTTTTTGCACTAAAAAAAAATTATCTCCTAAATTTCTCAACAATATTTATTTTATTAATTTAAGTTTAAATATTTAGTGATGATTTTTGGAAAAAATGAAATTGTTAATAAATTTATATTAGATTTTTTACAAAGGCGTAGATTAAGATTTAAAAATCTCGTTCATTCTTCCGTAATCTCATTCTTCACTCCATTATTCTATTCTATTCTCCTAAAAATCTGTTATATATTTCACGTAATACATATATATAGATATATAATAGACTAGACCAGCGTATATACATTATATACATAGACCTAAAAGCAAACGTTTCGTCTATGCTACTGGTATATTATATATTTATAGTATACAGGTTTTTTTAGTTTCCGCTCCCCTCTGAGGGACAATACAGATCCACGCACCTTTCGTTAGTGGTGCAAGTGCCAGGTATACTATTAAATAACTTGAAATATCTTCCGGATAAAGTTATAAGTTCTAAACTCGCCACGTTTATTAAAAATATGTTTTTATTTTAAAGTACAATTTTGGTTTTGTTTTAAAGTAAGTGACTATTGCTTAAAATTTTTTATTTTTAAATCCATAAAAGTGTGAGTGAGTTTTTATGAAGATAAATAATTTTTTTTATTTATCTAGAGGGAAAAAAAAAATATTATTAAGAAAATTTTCTTGACAGAAAAACTTTTATTATTTTTAATTATTAAAAATATTTATAAATTCATTAAAGTTAATTTTAGTTGTTCTTTTTTTTTACACAGAAATAATTATAGATATTTATATAAAATTTATTCAACTCAACAAATACACTCTTGAATAACTCAAGAAATATTAAAATTTATTTTTTTTTAATATTTTTTATATCAATTAACAAAAGGTGAACGGATGTTCAGAAAAACTGAGATAAACGCATTTAAAAAAATAATTTTTTTTAAATTACAAGCCAGAGTGATCCCTTAATTTAAAAAAAGCTATAAATTTGTTTATATATTGTGATAAAAAACAAATAAATATTAAAAATAACGAAATTTAAATTCTTTTTGATACTTATAAATATTTTTAATACTTTTAAATTCCTTTTATGGAAAATTAAAGTTGTTAATTTTTTCAAATAATTTTTTTGTCTAATCAGGAAGAGGTAAATATTTTATAATGAAGGTAGATGTTGATATTTTTCTTTCTCTCAATTCAATTTTGTAATTATATTTCATGATGCGCTCTAGTACACCCTGTATAAAAAAAAAA